AGAAGAAGAAGTAGTGGTAGTAGTAGTAGTAGTAGTAGTAGTCGCAGCATCAGCTGCAGTAGCCAGCAGTAGCAGCAGAACAAGAAGTACTTGAGGAACGTGGAAGAGACTACAATGCAAAGACTCTTCATTCCTGCCAGACACTGTTGGTGAATTTGTTAAGCCTTCCTGCTTGTAAACCTGAATCTGAACAGCAACCAACGGTTCAGACGAGGCCCCAGGAGAATCATATTGAATCTTTCGAGCCCCTTTAAAGTTGCGCAGACCCCGACCCAAAACCCCAAAGCCTAAGCCCCAAACCGTATACCCTGCCAAAGCCCTAAACCCTCAACCCTATACCCTGCCAAAACGCCAAACCCTTCATCCCCAAATCCCCATGAAAGCCTCAAGATGCGGGCCTGGCCCTTGTTCATGGCAGGTGGCAGACGCCTGCCTACGTGGTTTGGTCAAAATGATTGCCCGGCCTGGTTAAGCTTTGGGGTGTAGGGTTTAGGTGTGGGAGGGGCTGGTGGGGAATTTGTTGTATGGCCCCGAAGCCCTAAACCCGGCGAAGGGTTTTGCACATCGCATAAGCTTCGGCAAGGACTGTCGACATGAAAGCAAGAGAGGGAGCAGGCAAATAGGCCCCGAGCGAACTCAAAGTTCTTTCCACATGCGTGTCTAGCCCAGCACAGACGCCTAAGCAAATATTACTATTACTCTGCACTGCTCGTTCCGAGAAATATGACACCTTTACTATCTCCCACAGCCCCAGTCTTCCTGTCTAGGCCCGCAGTTTACCCCAAAACCTTAACTCCAAAATCCTCCAAGCCCTGAGCCGTAAACCGATATTATCTTGTCTTGCCGTCGCCGTGTCCCCAACAGCCTTGTACCAAAACACTACATACATTGGCCTAAAGTTAAACAAGAAGAATACAGAAGCCCTCAACCCTAAACCCCAAAACATGAACGCAGGAAACCCAAGAATCGACAAACTCTCGGCCCCAACCACTGGAAAAGTGTCTGACATGCAGCGGCTACTATAGGACCCTAAATAATTTCCAATACTATTTGGGAGGTTCATGATTATGATTCCATCATAAAGGAGCCCCAAACCCTATTGAAATGATTAAGGCCCCCACATTACACCAGAAGCATGGCACGATCGCGTAGATGTGGGCATAGCACTTAGACGGTGGAGACTCCGGATCCACTGCCCCCCCAACCCACCCCCCCGAATGCGAATAAGGATGATAAGAAGTAGAAGGACATGATGGTCTTTCAAGTGGAAGTTAGTATTCGCAGGCCTGGATTCTTTCCCCTTGCTAGACACTCAGACTTCCACGTCCACCGCTACATACAGCCAGCCCAGGGGTTGTCCGTGTTGGTTCAGGAATCCTTCAAAAGGCGAAATAAAGCCCACGGGAATCCAAACACCGCTTCCAACAACCTACAGTGAACCTTGAACCCCTTTGTAGACCAATCAACGGAATTTTCAAGGAACGCCTAGGCAAATGCTTAGAAGAAACCTTCATATATAGGAAGCCTGAAAGCAACCCTAAAGGAGCCTTTAACGGAGCTCCAAGGAAGCCTGAACCGAAGCGTTAGCCCTAAACCCTAAACCCTAAACCCTTAAAGGAATCCTCAAGGGATCCCTAAAAGAGCCCACCCGTCAGGTTGGACTCCAAGTGTGAGGCTCTGTCTTGCGAGGCGCGCGAAATGCTGCCACGATTAAGGGTTTAGGGTTTAGGGTTTATTGGTGGTTTCAGGGTTCCTTCATAAATGATCCATGAGTAAAATGTTTTCTAGGTGTTCTTGGTGGTGTTCAGGGTGCCTATGAAGGGACCATAAGGGTTTAGGGTTTAGGATTTGGGCTTAGGGCTCTGGGATTATTTAATGGGTTTGGCGTTTATAGGGTTTGGAGTTTGGGGTTTGTACGGTTTAGGGCTTCGGGTGTAAGGTAGTACCTGTACCCCCCAACCCTCCAAAATAGTAGGGAAGGACCCCTTAAGTATGGGTGGCTTCGATATGTTGGGCTCTTAATTAGGGTCATTTTTGGGTCCCCAATATGATACGGCACTCCTCCCCGAAAGGGACCCTAATTTAGAGAACTACCCAGTTAGTGAGCGCAAGGCTATGGAGTTCTGCTGATTTCAGGTTTTCTGGCCGGTTTGCTTAGCTACCAAGTACCTAAACCCTAAACCCTAAACGTTTTGGGTTCCCTATGTAGAAGTCCACCATAATATTTCTGATTTCCCCGATTCTGATTATTCTCGATTCTGATCATTTAATCGCCTACAGTGCTCGAGTCTCAAATCAAGACTGGCAAGGTTCTCGGCTTCGGGCACTATCTGCCGTCTTTTGCCCTCCCGTGCTTGCAGATATACCCATCGAGGGGGGGGCCTCAAACTAACCTGCGCTTTGTGTGTGTCTATGCCCTGAGCCTCAAGGGCACAGAACAACCTGAATGCTAACCCGAGCCTAGGCCGGTTTTGACAACGATTCTGCAAGTTCGACAGAGCATATGGAAAGAAAACCAACAAAAAGGTGCCTCTACGAACTTCGAAGAAATGCGTTCGATAGGGGTTTGAGTAGTCAATATTTCATAATATCAGAGTCTCTATACCAACGTACCCCAAATCCTCTATTCTAATAACTGCTAAGGCTAAGGTCCTTTTATTGTGGGCCTCCCTTGAAATCTCATATTCATTTAGAGCACACGTTCGCTTATAAACCGTTGAGGGTTTGAGGCTGCTTGGTGGGTTTATGCAGGGTCTGGGCCTAGCTGGGGGCGTTCTCCTAACTTTAAGCGCTGCCCACTGGAAACCCTAAAACCCGAGATCCTGTGTCCAATCTGGAAAAAGCCTCGCCTAGAGAGAAAGCCAGGCGCAGAACCCTGAAGCCCACAACCCGACAAAGACAAACGGAGCCCTGCGACCCTGAACCCTAAGCCGCAACTTAGCCTTCGTAAGGAGCTATAGCAACGACTCACATGGAATCCGAAATTTGTGGTGTGGATTATTGTTTACGATTTGCAAACTGCCAATCAGAAGCAGCTGCGGCAATACGCTGATGTGCCGAGTGATGCTGGTGAAAGCCAGCCGATGCTGAGAAAGTGACACGACAATTCGTGGTTCTTGTTCCCCCCGATTGTGGAAATGACACTCTGGACCCTTATACAACCCTGTGAACCCTTTGTAAGTCCTGAGACAGCCTTATACAACTCCTTTCAAACAACACCCAACACAATTTAGGGGTTGGAAAGGGGATTTTCAACGTGGTGTGTGTGTGTGTGTGTGTGTGCGTGTGTGTGTGTGTGTGTGTGTCTGTGTGTGTGTGTGCGCGTGCGTGTGTATCTTTATCCTGGTTGTATACTGTATAACTGTACCCAGCCCCCTTAAGTTAACAGAACGCGTCTAGGTTAAAAACCCTAAGCCCTAATCCCCAATCTCTCTAAACCCGAAGAGAACGGTCCCTCAAAGGCCGTTGTCTCCCTCCGAGCGCTGCTCCAGCGCCGGCACCGCAGTGAGGACAGCGGGCCGCAGCCTCGGCTTAAGGGTCTGTACAGAGAGGTTTATACATATGTACACACAGAAGATAAATATAGGCACATAAATATATAAATAAACATATATATATATACACACATAACATAACATATATATATATATATGTATGTAAAGAGCTACACACATATAAAGAAATATAAACCAACAAGTACATGAATATTGAGGTATAGCTATTCCTGTATATATATATATATACATATGTATGTGTGTGGGTCGCGGGATGCATGTGCGTGTATAAACACACACGCATGTATATGTATGTATGTATGTATGTATGTATGTATGTATGTATGTATGTATATGTATGTATATATATATATATACAGATTGCATAAAATGAGTGGCTGCAGGGTTCCGCACAATTTTCTTAGGGCTGCACAGCGTTCTACACTGTCCCCTCAGCGGTTTACAAAGCTATTCGGGCTTTACAAGATGTTGATTTGGCTTTCTAAGACTCTGCATGTCGAAAGTTCCCAAAAAGTAGATACTTGGAATCGGGATGGTACTCAAAACTGAGGGATAGTGTTCCTGGAGGACGATAAAACTTGTTGGCACATGGACCTTGATCGGGCAAGTCTGGAGCGGGGCCTTTGGGGTCGGGGTTTGGATACTATAGTCCTGAGGTTCCTTATGATATTTACACTGTATTGGAGCCCAAAACCCTATTCTAATTCCTAAGGCCCCTACATTAGCTCAGATTCCGGCTTTGGTCTTTCTCATAGAGGCCCTTAACACTTGTACTTCTGAACTGCTTCTGTGACTTGGCTCTGTGTGTAGGGTCTGTATACTATGGCAGCCGCTGGCAGCATAAATTGTTCGCAACAGCATTGTGGGGCTCCACAAGATAGTTATAGTTAGGTATAGAAGCCCATATTTATAAGCATGGAAACCCTGCAAAACCCGAGTCCAACTATACTTTCAGACCTCCGGCACAGAGGTTGCTAGTCTTTATTCTGAGAGATGCTGTATTAGTTTTGAAGCGTTGCGGCAGTCATGTAACCAGGTTCTGGTTAAGTTTCCCGTAGAGGCCAAGACTACTTAAATGAACACTATACCTTAGATCTTGGTCATGACGGGGTCTTTCTCAAAGTCCTGACATATGTACCAGTTGAGTAGCATTGGGCTCTGCCGAAACTTGTTCGTCAGGTAAACATCCTCAAAAACCCTAACCCTAAACCCGCCTAAGACCCCATGCACCACAGCCGTGAACCCAATCCGAAAGACCCGAACACCAGTACCTGAACCTTTCGGTTGCTAATATAACTCCTGCATTATTAATATACCCATCATAAGGAGGATACCACAATTCCCATAGATTAGGGTCATGAAGGTAATGCAGGACTTTTATCATCAACGGTTAGAAGTTAAATACCAAACTTTACAGGTGTGAGCTTCAGCTCATTGACATAGGGGCTCGGATGATTAGTCATCTCATTCCTTTGGCTTCTTGACATAACCATGCCATTTATCAAGGTTACATGAAAACAAACTAACCCACTATGAAGGCACGGTACTGAACTTCATGCAGACCCTACGTAAAATCGCAACAACCTAACTCGACAACGGTTTTGGGCTACCTTGTTCTCTTCTGGTAGGATCCGGAATCCGAAGCATGAAGTAGGTCATCAAACAGCACAGTATTACATTTTGCCATTAAATTATTAAGCACAAATACAAGCCGTTACAAGCCTCTTCGAACAGTTGAAGCCCCATATGGGTAGTTCTCTAAATTAGTGTTCCTTTTCAGGTGCCAAAAGGAGTGCGGCATCCTTTAAAGAACTACCCATATATTGTACCCTTGAAGTAGGAGCACAAAAGTTGGAAACCCAATAGGCTCAACGCTTAAGAGTAATGTATAGGGAATCCCAACACTATTTGTCCTTCATCTGGTTTCCAACGTTTTGAGGTTTACTAAATAGAAACCCTTTGGAAAACCCTTAACTTCCTTTTGCGGAGCCCTCAAAGGGACCTGCTGCAGGCTCGGTAGTGTCCTGCCGCATCTGGTGACCTACCTCGAGGCTCCATATCGGCATGGGTGGAACCCTAAGCCCTAAACCCTACACCCCAAAAGC